GGTGGATAGACATGGCTCGAAAAGTATGCCTTAGATGTCGACGACAGTTTAGGGATGACTAAACGGGATGTCTTTGGTTTAATTATCGATGGTGCTTGCTGGACATTGGGATACACAATGCTTGGGACCGCAGATTTCGGGCTCTGCAAGTTAAGTAAGCCTCATTAGAATAACACAATACAGTTCCATTGACATAACCCATACATCTAGGTCTCCCAGTGCACCGGCCAATTCGGAATAGCTCGAAACGTTGATGGCCTCCTGGGCCTGATTCAGGCTCATTTCTCGACCACTGTTGTCGAGAGAGACGGTACTGTAATAGGATTGGCCTAAATTTGGTCCTTCGTAAAGTGCAGTACACTGCTGAGTATCAGGGTGAGCGCTCTCGGTGGCTACACGTTATTAAATGATGTAATACTGACAGCTGAGGTGCTTGATAGAACATCATACGAGTTCGAGTCAAAGCTGTTATAATACTGGTATCCTTCAGATGCGTTCTGAGAGTCGGAAACGCAAGTGCAAGGGCCAATCATCAATTTATGCGTCGGTATGTGATACGAGAGGCTTACTGAATTATAATCCGGTCCGAGGTTATATACACTAGAGTCATAGAGATTGGCATATCGGCCAGTCTGCAGATTTTCCGGACCTCCGGAAGAGGCGTATGCCTTCACGACGCAATTATCAGATAACTATAATACACATACATATGAGCATCATTAGTTTGCTTACTAAGGAACCACCAATTGTCGGTCCAGACGAGTAGGAGCATTCTTGATGACTATGCCAGTCGTTCGGAGGCGGACGAGTCTGCGAGTATCGCCCCGAGAATGAAGAAGTCTTTGTATAAGAACCATAAGAGTCATACAGTATCCGTAATTGCACTGTATGACGCAGTACTTACCGAAGGACCTCTTGAACCGATACCATAGTTGCTTTGACTAGACCACTCGGAACTTAGACGAGATCTGTCATTTGCCTGTACTCCGTAACACGAAGTAGCCTGAGGAGTGATTGTCTTGGTCTCATTTTTGGCTAGTATAGTAACGCTGAACAGTCCTGACTTACATATTTGCTCCCAGTCCCGTTGTCGCCTGCACAATTGCTGGGGAAGTCATTCCACCTCCATGGCACAGCAGACGATGGTGCTGCGATCTATGCAGTGCCATGTTCGGAGACGCGCAGTACAAACCAATGTTATAAACGTACCTTAGTAGCAGTACTCGCACCCCCATTCCAATACTTCTGCTCAGCGGACCGATGAAGCACACCTGGAACGATGCACTCCTGCCACAGAGATGATGCATCGCCAGCAGTCTTCGTGGTCGTATAATCCGCCATAAGCACACGTACAGCGGAGAATGAGTGATAAGTACCAAAGTAAACGTCTCTTTGTCCAGAACCGACAGCAGATACGCCTCGAACTCTACATCCTCTGCACTTGTCACTGCGGTCGATGACGATGCCCATGCCATTAAATCTTGCCTGTCAAGGGAGAAGTCCATTCTATGATACACCCAAGAGATAAAATACAACAGAATGCGAAGGAGGTAACCAAGGTATAGTAGAGAGGTTGCAGGGTAGACGCGGAAAAGCAGCTGGACCGCCTTGTCACAAATGTCACACGGTCCAAAAGGGTCCGTCCTTTTCCGACAAATCCATTATGGTCCGTCTGTTCTCTAGGCACATCTTCTATTAATCTACTTCTCCTGCTATAGAGCTTGCTGGGGCTGAAAGGAGAATGGATTAGCACCGTCGACAATCCAGGAACCGCGGTCCCCCTCCAGCCTCGAACGTTGCTTTGACGGTTATTACACCCCACAGAGAGCGAGTATTAGCCTCAGAGCAGGGACATCCACACATGCGTATTAAAGCATAATTATCCTGTTTCTGGCTATACCTGCTCTGGCCGGGGGTCACGATTGCGGTCGACCGCGGTGGGCCGTGGCACGACACGGCGCGTCGCAGAGCGCAGATCACGTGATACCATGCCCCTGCCGAGCCCATGAAAGCGTCCAATAGCTTACTAGATGCAAGTTATACACCGCTGGAAGTGTCTCGGAGGATTTTCTACCGTCATTTATGGCATATTAGGGATTTTTTAATGAATATGCAGATGCTGCCCGTCCGGCTAACATTGATACATACTGGGGTTCGAGAGCTCTGAGATTTGAGGAGTACAGTCGTCGAGGATAATCGCGATGACGGCCGGGTCCGGCCGAGCGTCGGAGCCCTAAACCGTCGTCAACAAACCCATCCACTGTTGAGACGCGATGGCTACCGCAGCGTCGGCAGAGCAAGCAGGCGCCTCCTGACTTGAGGAGAGACACTTTGCACACTCGTGCAGACCCCTCGAGACAGGCGACACACTCCGCCATGCTAGCTCTCCTGCTTCTTTCATGTGAACTTGCTTTCGGAGCTATCGTCCAGAGGATCTGCGTGTTGATAGCTCAGAGCCGCTGGTACAGAAAATGCGGATGGACCTGCTCACGGTTCGCATTGGAATCGGAAATTCTGGTGCTGTTCCCTTCTCTCGACAATCCCATGCTTTTTACGACCTCAGGATTGCTCTCCGAGTTCTCGTGGCTACAGTGTCGATGGACCGCTTCTGTCTTGCGACTCTTACAGGCTAAGATACTATCTACTGGGCAGGAGTGTCCTGCGCAAATCCAGGCAGGCCTGTCAGAGAAGATCATTTGGTCGTCAAGCTCCGCGACTGTCGGGACTGTTGTGATACGCGCATATATGCAGTATATAGTGAGTATTCCGTTTTAGTAACCGAAGCTGCCCTCACGCCGCAGCAAAGGAGATTCTAGGGTCCTCACGCTCATAATCTGTTCAACACTATACTCCTAGTGAGGCCATTAGCTTTGTCACCATGTCTGGTCAGGCCTGGCTTTAGCAAAGTTCCTTTGTCCGTCGTCACTAACTCGAAATCCAAGTCATCCTCCGGTGCATAATTGTCATCACCTGCTCCGAGGCTGGACTCACGTTTTCTATGTCCGTTCAAATGCCCTCGCTCGGTTGAATATCTGACTCTGCGGCAGTACCCAGACTACACACTTGGTTACGATACGGGTGATAACCAGATGATCGAGTCTAACGGTCGTTCAATATGTGGATACATGCGCCTATTGGACGGTAGGACATGGGCCCCGTCTCACCGGAGCCTATGTCCTGTTGTATCGCTGGTATGGACTACGTATCATCGGATCATCCACATTGATGCCATGGTTCGTGAGCTTTAGTCACTTTCACTGCAGTCTCTCGGCGACCATCGGCATGCGTAATATTCGCCTCTCTCCGTCGACCTGGATGGAGGTCCACTGAACTCCATTGCACATCCCGCTTCGACTCAGCATGTACGCCTGCAACACCTGGTGGGAGTCGCGCATAATCGAAGATCTCCAGCTTCCATGCGCAATACTGCTCTTCTTATGGTCCGCTTTCGCGCACGGTATGTCGCATCCCTTTATTCCGAAGCTTCAGCGTCTGTATCGCGCCCTGATCATCAAACCAGATGTCCCGTCTTTATTGCAAGCTATACCACTGTACGTTCTTTGAGAATCCAAGGCATCCGTAGCCGAGCATTTCTCCCCTCTTCCGGCCTCGGATGCATCCATTGTCGCTCGAGAGCAGGAGATTCGCAGTTCGCTTACGAAGGCACTCGAGCATGTTTAGCGTGTCTGTGTGGTGTGTCTGTCCAAGCTGTCCGTGGCTTCTAATGATACCTTCCTCGTGCTGCTACACAAATACCGTCCGGCCGCCTTCATAATATCCCATGCGATGGCTAATTGCAGGTTTATTACCTCACGCTACGACAGTCGTACTCCCTTTCAGCACGAATCCGTACCACCTTTGCCTTGCCATGTCTGCTAGCATCTCGTCCCTCCTCGGTGACAGTCGGAGCTGCAGATCACACACTTTAGTAGGCAAGTTGGCTCTGAAACCAGTTGCGCCGATGTAGCAGCTCGAAGGCATTGCTATTAGACTTGATCACGATCATTTAGTACGCAAGTCCATATCTGCTAAGAATTCAAAGGTGAGATTGACGAAACTGCATGCATTGGCGCACGAGGAGCTGGCCCATATTACGCAGATATTGTGCCGGGTAGTTGATCCACCGCGCGTCTTTCAGAGGCATCGATTTCCATGGCGGATAACGATTTGAGAATGATCTTGACGAGGATGGCTTTCTGCTCACTGAGGCTGGCGAATTGTGTCGGACGTCGTATGTATGGTAGGCATCTGGTGCGCTTCGTAACTGCCCTCAGATTATGCATGATCATTTCCGGTCGTAGAACAACATCCTGAAGTCCGACTGTGACCTGTTCTCACAAAAGAGCGGTCAGAGTAGGTCCTGCGATGGGGGATATCCGTTTGGCGAAGTCCAGTTACAGGAGCCCGCGTGACGAAGTTTTTACGGTCAGTGAACCTAAACAACTCCTAGGCTATTATCTGAGCGAAGGAGCGGCTCGACCTCATCGCTACGCCAGTGTTCGACGTTCAATGGCGGGAAAGGCAGAGGGAGTAAAACCTAGGATATGCCTGCGTGGTTTTGACCTGTGACATCTGTAGAGGCCGACTTAGATCCCACCATATCAGGCAGAGTGATAAATGACGGAGGTGGGCTTGGACGAAGGACCAGATCCGATGACTTAAGCAGCGGGCATACCTCGTCCGTGCGTTTCTTTCCCGCAGGTACTGCAGCTATCGGAATGAGTCACTACTTAGCACCGTCTGATACTTGGACCGGGGCTGTTGGAAGGATTGGGAGACACAGTGACGGGGTCACCTTAAGAGCTATGGACAGAGCATCGTTCGATCTACAGGATACGCCGAGGTCAGTCCGCACTTGTCCGTTATACAAACGTTTCGTGGATTGTACCTGTACCAATTCAAGGTGGAAACGCCGCGGATAAAGAAATGGACTTGGGCGTACGAGGTCCCCATCTATCCGGGCTAAGATTGCATGGAAGCAATGGCAAGCTGTGTTCAATAGCAGCATGGCGCAGTTGGAAGCGCGTTGGGCTCATACGCTCCAGTTACGTCAACCCAAAGGTCGCTCGATCGAAACGAGCTGCTGCTACGAATTTTGCTTAGGGTGGAGGTTCGTTCTTGCATCCCTGGTTGCTGGGATAAACTTAGTGAGGCACGTCTAGGAGGAGATGCCATTGCGGGAGTTGCATTAATGGTAATATCGTCAACCGTTAATTGCTCAGCGACTTGTTACTTTAGCGTCTACTGGTACAATGAGATATCGAGTGAGAAGTGCGCGCGTTTTCGTGGCCGCGTCGTGCATGTAGATCCTTCATGGTAAAACGATGATCATTCCCCACTGCGGAGTATGTTATCACGTGCGGTGTGGCATGTGGCGCGACAACCCCTTCTTTCACTCTTCCACTCTACGACCTCCAAGACGCGTGTATGGAATATTGGGTGTTGTAAGCGATATAAATATTGTCTGATCAGGGTGAATAGCGACTCAGTCCATAGCGATGAGAAGTGTTTGGCTGGCTTACCGACCCGAGATGAGAGGGTTACGAATGATATGGTGCGGTTGAAACGGCCTGGTGTTTTGACGGGCGGGTAGGTGGGCTAGGAGGTCTCGTACTTGCTTCGCGGCCCATCGAATCAAGGCTTTGGAGGGATATAGTCTGTATCAATGAACCATCGTGGTACGCGCTCCTCTCCTCTGCGGAGATGGCCAACGTAGTCAGAAGAGGAGGAGGGACGCGAGCAGGGACTTGAGTCCGGGTTGGAGAAAGGAGAACAGTGGGAGTATGAAGCGGGGATGTTGATATTAGTGATGTCGACGTTCAGTTCGGTTCGGTTCTCATGGCTTTTGAGAGAACCGAGGACGGAATACCAGGTTCCGTTCGAGCGTCTCGTTGAACGTTGGACCGGACGTCAGAGAACCGTTCGATGACGTTCAGTACACGTTCAGGCACGTCCGAACACGTCCGGACGGGCAAAAATGCAAATGGGTTGCAAACTATAGAGTAAGAAGACATACTATACATTGTCCCCGTCATCGTCAATATCAGTCCACTCATCATCGCCGACATCTGAATCAAAGTTCAGGTCCTGTACGAACTCCGTAGCCTCCTTGCTAGCTGAGATGTGACCATTCCGATACGCACTCTTCAGGATCTGGAGTGCTTCAAAGATGCTCGCCTGCATTCGCCTACGTCGCGGCGCGCTCGTGATGCCTCCACTTGAAAATGCACGCTCAGATGCAACTGCGGAGCCTTGGACAGCGAGGTAGTCCCTGGCCATTCGCGACAGGACGGGATATTGAACCTGATGGTGCTAGGGACAATTGAGTTCAAATAGAGAAGACTAATGAATCGGAACACTCACGCCCCACCAATGAACAACATCATCAAGGCTCGGAGGTTCAAGAGGACTGCTGAGATACATCTCAAGCTCCTCTCGTGGACTCCTGCCTACGCGATCCTCTTCCTGCCTCTCCCTCACAGCTGCTAGCATCCAACTAAAGCCATAGTGACGAGCTTCAGGTGCCGCTGAACAGAAGTCAGACCGTCATGTCCTGAAATCGGGCAAGAAAGGACATACATGAGGCAGGCCTCGTAGCTGACTTCGCTGATGCCGATTGCGAGCTTGTGGTGGTATTGACCATATGATAGTATTGGTCAAACTGTAGTATCATCAGTCACACTCGATATCTGACCAAAGAGAGACTGAACCTCAGCCTCGAGACGAAGCCTCGCCGATGCCAGGACCTTCTTGTCCCATTTCGCAGACATGTACGCCATCTTCCATCGTGGGTCCAGTACTTTGGAAGCCGCATTCAGTTGAAGATGTTGCTGTAGTGTGAGAAGCGACATACCGTGCGCGATGACATATGCACCACTTGTTTCGGTTTTCCGGTACCACTTTCCTAAATTACGGAGCCCTGCATTGATGGCATCCTTGACCCGTGCATACTGCGGATCCTTCGCCATGCCCTCCCAACTATTCTGCAGGTTCTCGAGGATTGGGATGGCAGCCCAGAGCGTTGGCTTGCTCACCAATGAGAAGCTCTGGTGGGCATCAGACGGTTCCTGTACAGCTATCAACTCGAGTCAAAAACGTTGTATTGGCATGTCACATACCTGAAGGACACGGTGCACAACCACCAAGTACTCCCATTCCCTCTCTGACAAGGCAAAGTCAGAGTAGGACTTGTCTTTCAACTTCGGGACCTCCTGTAAGGACTCCCCTTCAGCCACCTTCGCTTTCAGCCACCGTGACGTGACGTCACATGTCACGCAGAGCGGCCACTTTCTGTTTTGCACTTGTTGAAGGGTTCCTTAACCTGTTCCTCTTTGGAACTCCCTTCAACAACGTGCAGGTGAGCCCTTAGATATTAGTAGTGGATGTATCTAGTGCTCATGAGTGTATATATTTGCTTTGGAACTCCCTTCAACAACATGCAGCCTTGCCAGCTCACTGGTTGTTAAGGTAGCCCTTACAGCAGGAACAGGTTTCTCTTTGAAGGACTGGACTTTATTCCACACTTAGAGGCTGCTACTGGCATCTGGCTGTCAGCGTTCCTTCGCTACAGGTAGTCAAGACCCAGTGGCCCTTCCAGTTGGATCATATAGCCCCCTCCTTTGTGCAGAAGCATACGGCCTCTCTACTCTCCCTGGGCCAAATATGGATGCTGTGACCACCTCCAGTATCCTAGCTAGGCTTGAACAGTTAGAGGCTCGCAGCTCTGCCGCTGCCATCGAGGAAGTTGGTGTGAGAGAGAAGTTGGATCAGTTGTTGTCATTGGTCTCTGGTCTGGCTTCTGGTGCGAATACCCCCTACTTTTCTGTTAGCAAACCAGTCTCCCCGCACCCTGGTGACCTTTCCCACACACCCTTCACACCCCCTACACCTACCCCCTCGGTTACCCCATCATTTTACGGTGGAGTGCCGTCGCGCTTCCAGTCCCCTACTCCTGGGCCTGGAAACACTTCCCCATTCGCGCCTCTACGCTTTCCTAATCCTCCTGACTTTGATGGGAAGCGGGAGCATGCTCGGCACTTCTGGAATCTCGTCTGCACCAACCCCAGTCATTTCCCCAATGACCAGATGAGGATCCGATGGGCGCTTGGCTTCTTCAAGTCTGGGCGAGCTGCGGACTTCGTGACGAACCTCTACGAGGTCGAGCGTGAGACTGGCAGCCCCTACTTCGAGGACTGGGCTGGTTTTGAGGCTGAGTTCGCACGCGAGTTCATTTCCCCCTACGAACGTGCGGACACGGCCTTAACCTTGGTAGGCACCGACTACTACCAGGGTTCGTCTTCAATCGAGGAGTATATTGACTCGTTCCGTCGGTTGCTCCGCCTTGCCCAGTTACGCTCTTCGGATCCAGGACTTGCATCCCTGAATGTCCTGAACTTCCGCCGCGGTCTTCACCCAGATATTGAGACCCCGCTAACCACCTCGTTGGGCCGCCCTTCCGACTCGGACCTCGAAGGATGGATCTTGGCAGCCAGGCGTTACGCTCGAAGCATCCGTGAGAGTGAGGTTTTCAGCTCAACGGTTGCGGATCAGACCCCTCTTGACCCTGCCCCGATCATGGAACCACTGCCAGCACCTGCAGTCGTTGTAACCCCTCGGCCAGCTCTTTCATCCGCCAACCACTTCGCCTCGCTCCCTGTTGAAGAGGCCTCCGACTCCCTAGAGCCCCCTTTGGCAGAAGTCGCCCCTGAGGCAGTCACTTCCACGCTCGTGTCTCCACCTCCGGTTGTTCAACAGAAGCTCATTCCGTACCATCTGCTGCCGCGTTGGGAGCGTAAGCTTCCGCGCAAGTACACTGTCTCTGCCATCCCCGGACTGCGTTCTACCAGCATCAAGGTGGAGCTAGAGTCTACGCAGACAGCGAAGGTTGTTTCGACTGACGCTCTGATTGACAGCGGTGCAACTAGCGCTGGGTACATCAGTCTGGCCTACGTTCGTGAACAGGGGTTGCCCACTCGCAAACTCTTACGGCCGATCCCTGTGTTCAACGTGGATGGTAGTCCAAATGAGGCCGGTTCGATTGAGGAGATCGTTGACACGGTCCTCCGCTACCGCGACCATACGGAGCGCATCAACCTTGCAGTGACCAGGCTCGGGAAACACAACATCATCCTCGGGCATGGCTGGCTCCGTGAGCACAACCCGGACGTGGAC